TCTCAATGATGACGGAACAGAAGTGATATACAAAATCAACATTTCGAACTGCAAAGTTTAATTCGGTAGACTGACACAAGATCAACGTAAACAATGATCGAAGATCTCACTGGTTAGCATAAAAACTATTCAGAATGAAGAATAAACTAAAACGCAGTAACACTGACAGGAATATCAAGAGTTCGATGAGGCCATAACCAACAGATAAAACAGATATGGCACTATTAATCAATGACGTGCTTCCTTGATATCTGATTTTTAGGATCATTATCAGTGTCACAAGTGATGATCTAAGCATGTGAGATTGGCTTTAGTTCATCACGGGAGGTCGCTGGTCGCACAAGTTCTACCAAGATGAAAAAAGGAACGTTTGCAAATGTTTCGATGCAACTCTCCCTCATAGTTTCATAACTATGGACAATTTGTGGCGCCCTTCATTTTGCGAAGTACATGACGAGGTGTAGATCTCCATTTCCATCCATGACATCAGTCAGGAATGTTCTAATTTAAAGGCAGAGTCGACTGCAGCCATGTAGCAAATACAGCGTGTAGTCGCCTCTTTCCTTCCCACATAGCGATCGTTAATCTGTCTTTGAAAGAAAGAAAGGTGAGTGCCTGGCCGGGATCGAACTCACGATCCTTCGGTTTTAAATCAGACTCAGCAAACCGATTCAAAATACCAAAGACCCGTTAGACAAAGCACAAACATATAATGGCATTATATGGTCTAACGTCAGTTTACAAAATCTAAAATATCAATAAAGTTATCGATGACTCAAAATGTCTGATCCCTTTTGCAACCATCTGAAAAAACAGTGCTATATTAAAAACTATACTAATAACAAAAGGCTTCCCCATTAAAAAATTTTGCAACTGGAACTTAAAATGTTTGCAACATTTACGTTGAGACATACTTTTAAGACCCGTACCCTGACTGGGGAACAAGTACCTCCTCCTACGTGAAACTCTGTCTTTATTTTGAAGTAGGTATAGCCGTTCCTATAACGTAGACAAATATAACTTTACCATTAATTCCCCCTCCACCTAAGCGAAATAAACCTAAGGATAAACATAATTTTTTTCTTGTCTTCAAAATCATTAGAAATGAGATCCCTCAAAATGAGACTAATGGCACGACGAAGATCCATAAATTTGAAACGTGGAAATTAAGTGTAATACCGTTGCATGTGAACAGCACTTCTAAAACTCGAGAATCAGAAATTAAGGTAATTTTTGCACATGGTTCAGGTGAAAGAAGGCAAATTCTCAAGATCAACTATCTGGGAAAAGTCATATAACAAACGAACAAGTGGTAAACATAAAGCCAGATTACTAGGTTACACTAAATGCATGAAATTTTGCATTTTGCAATGCAGTCTGCGGAGTCTGAACGATAAATGAAAAACGTTATGGAGCTGCTACCTGGCAGCTCAATAGCGAATCATGAATATAAGTAATGGATGAACCTCTATCATGCATTTCCCCATATTTACTGTGCAAATATAGGGCTCAAATTCAACATATGATTTTATTATCTGAAACCTGGTAAGATAGCGGCTGATATTGATGGATTTGAGATACTCACCAGCTGTATGGGCACTCAGTAACACAGCTAACGATATTTCATAGTTTGAAGAGTCTGTGCCAAAATGGTATTAAATATAAGAAACACTACGTCTTCTTGAAAAAAACTGTCATGATTGATAACTCGTGGCTATGAGCATATTCAGTTCATTCAATTCTTGGAACATACAACAAGAATGATGGCTAAAACTGATAGAATTCAGCAATTTCAACTTTGATAAAGGTACGGAAGGTCGTTGATTAACTGACAGATTTCTTGATGCACGGCTGGGAAATCTGAAAGAAAATCAAAGGAGGTCGAAAACTTTTAATAACTGCCCATGCGATTTGCTAAAAGCATCATCATACATATAATTACACGTTATGACTACAGCAAATTCCATGTCCTGTTAATCGTTCGTCTGTCACGCTGTCTAGAACTGAATCCTGCTAACTACATTGTATGCTATTTCTGCATGATGTGTTGGCACAGATGTGTAAGTTGTCTGCTTCGAACACCGGATATGCAGCGATCGATTCCGCTGGAATGCAATCTCCGTCTTATTCACGAATTTTTTTGAACAAGGACTTTACGACACACTGCTTCAGACTGGAATTTCCTCAGTCGATTGTGTCGAACTCAGAACCGATAGGTTCCGAGTTCAAGCACTGATCAGAGTCATTTGCCCTTCTTCCTTCCGAGGTTGATAAACAAGTATTACTCTGTGGGAAAATAACAACAGACTACACATCAAGCCTGTCACGCGGCTGTAGACTCTGCCTTTCAAATAAAGCATTCCTTACTGCGCGTACAGAAACGGAGATCAGCACTGCACCAACAACTTCATGAAAGGAAAGGCGCCAAAAGGGCACTGTCATGAAAGTGAATGACGACAGACATTCAAACGGTGAAAAACTTTCCTTTCTACAATTTACTATCAAACTATCCAAACTATGAACTATCAGAAATTATAAAAATCTCACACAACGATCCAATAACGATACACGTTAGCGAATATCGAAAAAGTCCCATCTAAAAACAGGCTGGCGCCCGGATAACGACTTTCGCAGTTAAGCTCTCTCAAAGTTTCTAGCACGGTCCTAGAAAAATCCGATCTAACCTTTTGCATGAAAGATTTTCAAGAGCATGTTAAATATGATCTGGCAGTACGAATGGTTTTAATACATCTAAGTAGGAACCAAATTATGGTGAAATTTAATACTACCCTTCCTTTCCAGGGAATCGATAATTCCTGCTTAGCTGATTCTCCTCATGGTTACTGCACACCGATAAGGATAAATACATTGTTAAACAGGGATATAATTTTTTTACAAAGAAAATTGTGACTTTTCCAGCCACAAACGTATGAACAACTAAAACATTTTACTCACATAAGTTTCATTTGTAGAACTAATCTTTCGGATAAGACATGGTCCGTGTTTAGTTCACAGTCTATATCATGAATCAAATAAACTGTCTACGCGTTGTTCATATATTTTGCACACTCAAAACAAAAAATCTTAATTATGCAAATTAATTTGTTACTGCTTGGTTTGTATTTACACTCCTACTTTGTGTATGGATACATAGCTTATTTATTAGATATGTCTTCTGTTGATAGCTACGTTGATGTAAAAGCGAATACATCTGAACTTTAGCCATATGAAGGAGTATTACTTCCGATCGATTTTGAAGTGCTGTCTCTAATTGTTCACAACCTGCCATTTAAGCAGCAAATCATTTGAAGAAGTTTGTGCACAAGACGAAGATCCATAACGAAAAAGATAAATGGAACCAAAGCATTATTCCAATCGCACTAAAGTAATTATCGTGCAACGCAAGTCCATACCCGTTCCACTTCGTGGCACTTTTTCAGGGCTTCGCCAAATTGACCCCTTTTTCGATATGCATAAGCGCAACCGATTTGAAACCACATGCACTGCATTTCATTTAGGTTTTCGCTGGCTTGCACTCCTTCCTAAAAAGAAACAGAATGAAGCTAAAC